AGAGGCCATTTCCCCCAAATAAAATAGCCTATTTTAAACATTGTCTTCTTGGTTATTATTTCGGGGGGCCGCGCAGACACGTCGGATGTTTAAGGGGGCCTAGGTGTTACTGACTTTGGGAATGGCTGCACTATACAATAGATTCCAGTGTTGTGCGTGAACGAGTTCAAAAGAACGCGTTCATTGAACACGCTCATTTTTTTGTGAACGTTGAACTGAACGCAACACATTTTTTAAAAAAGAACTTGAACGTGAATTAGTTCATTTTATGTGTCTTGAACGGCAGACATCACTATGAACGTTGGAATCTGTTTTCTCTTTTGAAACACAACGAGAGAAAGTTCCTCCCTCCTGTATTCTCGCACTTTTTCCGCCGAAATCTAAAAATTCCTACGGTTTCCACCGTCTGTGAACGCACCCCGACTCCGTGTTGCGGTGTGGCGCTGTGAGCTGGTGCTTTTCACATGTGCCCGAGTCGTGATGAAAACACAGGGTGAGTTAGCAACAAAGTTTACACCGTTTACATTTGACATAAAGTATAGACACACGCACTGCAGCGCATTACTGTCTGTAGTTTATGAGCAGAGATGAAGCAACTCCGTTTTGCTCCCATTGAAAACCATGTAAATCTTGTCTGTTTTGTAGTCAAAAGGCTCTCCTCCTGAGGGTGTACAGGATGGATATATATATATATATGGATATATATATATATATAGATTATATATATATATATATATATATATATATATATATTATATATAATTTATATATATATATAGCTCGTAGTGTGAGAAACATATGTATTTAATTATCTCACGAAAAAAGTAAAATGAACTGAACTTTGAACTAGTTCAGAATAAAAAATGTGAACTTTGAACGTGAACTGTTCACTTTGAGCATGTATGAACTGAACTTGAACTAGTTCAGAAAAGCTGTGAACTGGCACAACACTGATAGATTCTCACCCCTTGATGCAAAATCACATAATTTCATGCAGGACCTAGCAACCATTTGCAAGCACTATTTTCTTGTTGGATCGTTCAGAGAGGGAACCACACCCTGGGTCATGGGAGCCATTTAGCATTCCTTCAAAAATAATGTTATATTGAAAATATTTGGGCATCAGGTGAAACCATTATACTTATGTATGGATTTTCTTTGTATTTCCTGGATCATAAGCAGCGCCTTAAACTACAAAACCTCACCATGAGTTGATCATGAGAAGTTTAAGGCTATAAATAGAGGGATCCTACGGTCACGTGACTAGTAGCCACGGCGGCCATACTGGAGGACAAACTAGGCGAGTAACAGCAATGCTAGCTACTTATAACCGGATGTTCAAAACTAGAACTCTTAACGACATGAAAACTGAACAAAGAATTAAAAAAATCAGCAGTTAGTGAACCAAATATATACTCAACCTAAATCCATAACCATATCTTCTGCAAATGTGTCTTAAAATGTATTATTAATGTTAATGGCTACTTCCGGGTTTACCGTGGTCGCATTTTGTTGCATTAAAACAGTATTTTTGTCATGAAAACGTTAACAGATAATTCTGAAAACCTCTGCGCATGTGTATAAAGAATGTACATATGATTAATGTATTATCAGATAAACATTTCAATGTGTTTTTTGATTGTTATTAGTGTTTATTTTTAATCCATACATCTGTGTGGCTACAGTAGCGTGGAAATAATGAAATTACATTCAAATCAATGGAGCATTCTGCTTCTACTGTAAAGAGACGTACATTTTTTAAATAAATACTATTATGGGGGCACCCTGCCTCGAGTGCGGCTCAGTTCACACGTCTGCGTCTTCTGGCCTTTACCAGGCATGACAAGTCAGATACACGGAGCTGGGTGAGGCCCAGTGCGAGAGCAACCCCACGTTGCAGTCAGACAGTGATTAGTCTATATTATTCTTCTGATTGTTTATGAATAACATTAAATGCGCCACCAAATTTATTTTACGTAGCAGAAATGAAATGATCCGAGCATATTTTGACGTTATGGAGGCTGTTGACGTTACAGACGTTTTTTTGTTATTTCTCTTTTCTTGGAGATTTCTTCTTTTTTGGAGCCATGTGAAGTAAGTACAGCTGCCAGTGGGTTTGCTTGTCCTCCAATATGACGGATGCCTCGTGACTTCAAGCCCTTGTGACGTCACGCGAGAAATCTCTATAATGCAGATTTCTAAAGCGCTCTTCTCTATCGTTTCATGTCTCACCAAATAACATGTTTGTTATTCCTTCTGTCTATAGTCCAGTTCTCATAATTTCCCCGCAGCCATTGGTTGAAACAGCTCTTGAGGAATCTTCCAGAGCAGAAATAATTATGGTTATTGATATGGTCTATGTAATGTAATGTAATATATTTTCCATATGCGCAGCGCAGAGAGGGAAGTGAAAGGCCTTTTCAGATCTCGTGTTTGGAGTGTCTCATCTGTAAAGCTGCAGTTCTCCTTTTCCACACATACACACACAGTCAACCACAGTAATGTCTGATGTACCAATCTTATAACCATTTTAACTGGTCACTATTATTGCTGTAGAATGAATTGAACTGGTAGTTCAAGTCTAATGACCAGAGAAGTCAGGCATGACCTGACCAGAGGTCAGTCATAAAGTTGTGGAGGAGTTTAAAGCAGCAAAGTTTTACAACATGGCTGACATGGCTGACCAACTCAGCTAACAGATGCTATTGGCATCATAGCAATTACCATGCTCAACTGTGTCGCTGATAGCTTAGCTTAAAATCCGTTTCGTAAGCATGTCTCTTCATAGAGGCCATTTTAAGGTCCATTTGGTCATAGGTCTAATAGTAACATTAGCCAAATGTAAAAGTAATACTCCATGAGGCACAATAAAAATATGTTTGTAGCTTTGGCGAGAGATCCAAGAGATTGTAGCATTAGCTGGGAACCGTCGGTGCACACAAGCCCCGGAACGTTGTATTTTTTATTTATTTTTTACAAACAATAGTGAATGAAAGTGGTTTGGATAAGGGGTACAACTAAGTGCATGAGCACAAACAAATGTGGTAAACTATCACATAAACACATGTGATAATAACAAAGACTACAAGACCCACAACTTTGTTGCGTTGTATGGCGCGATCAGATGCAGGTGTAACCCAGAGGTTAACAGAGCTACCAGAGTAAAAGCATGTTAATAAAAACGGCAATAAATACTTTGAATGTAAAAAGCCAATAAATAAGTTCATATGGTGAAATGTATCTAAAAACGTCTAAAAAGTTATATTTACTTCTGTATATTAATTTAGTTAAAAACATGTGAAACATGCAAAATTATTATTAATTACATTCTTAATTGGTTGAGACCCATGTGCTTTTATTTTGAAGGGCACGTTGTTGTGACGCCCCTGCACCAAACAACAGCCAATCAGATTACTGAAAAAGTTCCCCAATGCTAAACAGGTAGATGCAGAGAAACACGCAAAGTACTGCAGTGAAAATAGCAGCAGAATAAGCGCAGAAAACGAGTCTAAACCAACCTAGAAGCCCTTTTTGTACTTCAAAGAAGGTATTTTTGTTTTCCGACCTGTCCTGGTGTCTTGCCAAGCAACAGGACTCTATAAGTTTCGAGAAATATATTTATTTTTTTGTAAAGCAACAAGTGTAAAGTTATCTAAGAGTTATTTCAAACTTTTACAAAAGATATTGACGGTTTTCCAACCAAGTCGTGGTCTCTGAGGTTTGTGTACTTGGATTAACGGGACTTGGTGAGTGGAAACCATGTATTTTCTTTTCTGTAAACTATATTTGTACAAAGTAATTGTTTTATGAAAACCGAAAGCTAAGGTATTTAATTTAAGCTGTTCTATGCGAAAAGGGTAAATGTTTGGTATATTTTAAGCCAATCCAAGCGTTGACTTTGCAGGTCAATGCTCAGTCTGTTTTTCTTGTCCGCCATGTTGGCGCCATGTTAACGAGCATGGTTTAGGATCGGAAATGTACATTTTCTTAGTTTTAGACTTACCTAGCGTTTTATTTTAAGTGTCTTTACTTATTTTATGTTGTTTACGTTAGGCCAACTTAGGTTGGGATGAAGAATTGTCGATTAGACAAACTCTGGATTTGAAGATTTGACTCGTGCTGGATCCATGATGGCGAGCCACCCATTGGACCTTGTGTGAACTGTGCGTGAGTCAGGATTTGCCATCTACTGGACGTTGCATGGTTTACATCTGAACTGGTAGGATCTATCCACTGTCCACCGAATCTAGAGGATTCAGGATAAACAACATTGGACTGCTAACCCAAAGACTTTCTGTGGTATACAGATAGTTTTGTGAAGTTTTGAATATTTTATTTTATTGACCATACATAAGTACTGTATTATAACAGTATTATTGTTACTGTTTGGTTGTAAACAACAAAAGGTACCTATTACTATAAAAGAACTTGAAACAGAATAGAACTAAACTTCAAAACAGAGTTAACTCAAGTAACGAAATGAATTGAAATTAAAAACTAAAAGGTTGCAACCTACTACTACAATAAACCAACATCAATATTAACCTATATATTGATAGAACTTAAAATAAATTAAATGCACTTCATTCATTCACCGGTGATACTTCCGGCTGACTTTTACATTTTGGCATAACTATATAGCTTGGTTTGTAAACACAGTCAGAAATTCATACATAAGACACACCGGATTTTAAGGCGCACTGTTAAAATTAAAAACTTTTGTCCGCACCCATTTGTTTGAAAAATACGGTTCACTGTACTGCCTTTGAATGTCATCAGTGATGACGTGCCCCAGGTATTTGACCTTCTCCACTTTCATAAGCTCCGCACCAGGCAAATAAAAAGGCGGGAAAAGAGGTCTTCAGGTGTTACTCCTTTCCACCATTACTTTTTGGGATTAAACTTAATGGTGAAATTACCAGTACATTATAAACTGCTAAAAAGTTCCCCCCTGATTTAAAAACATCTAACCATCAATCCCTGCATTTCAAGTTTCTGACCTGTGACAACGCTGGGGATTTTGGACATAAAGCTCTTGACCGTCCGTATGGGCACTCCAGCTGTCTCCTCCTGCATCTGAGTCACCAGGTCTTCGATCTGTTCAAACACAAAGAGACCATTTTCGAATCAAACTTGAAATTATGTGACTTTTTGGGAATGGTAAAACACTATAAATAACTTTCAAACTGCAGCAGGAAGCAGATGCTGCTGCAGATGATTGTGTGTCAGAGAGTGGTGGTCGCTCTGGAGACTGCAGCAGAACAACATTTTCTCATGTCCCCTGAACCTCAGAGTCATCCAGAAATAATTGTATCTACAGTATAGGTACAAGAACAGCATTAGGCAGAGACCAGCATTGGGGTCAGAGGGGATCCCTGTGTGGTTCCGTGAACATTACAAAACCACAGTTTTAACTTATATTTGTTGCTTGAAGCTGACAATTCTTTAGGGACATGCAATCTCTCTGTCAAGGCCCAGTCAGGGTTAGGCTTAGGTCACTAGTCATCTTGAGCCGATTTTATGCAAAAAGAAAATCCTCTTATTGAGCTATGATATTCAACTATGTATTAGTGTCATCGCCCTAAATCACAACAGCAGTCGTCTCGGAGGACTTTACAAAGTTGTGGATTCAACAACAGATCAAAGAAAAAAACACACGAAATGCACTAACAAACACATAGGAATCATTGAGACATAGGGAGCAGGATGATCACTGTCCAAAAATGTTAATAAATGTGCAGTAATATCCCATATCATCACCATCCTTTGACCTTCCTATATTGGCAAGGAACCACTCAGAAACCCGTTGGGGAACAGCGAGAAACCTCAGGGAGACCCATACTTAAAAAGGGATTCGGTGCCTGGCTGTCGATCCCGGATTGAAGCTCTAGATCCCGGACTGAGGCTGTGCAATATCGCACATGCTTAGTAATGTACATGGTGCCATTTATTGTAATTCTTTGCCCCGAAAGTCCCTCAGTTTATGATAAAACAAGTAGATAGTGAACCCTTTTAGACAAGTTACGTAACGCAGCTTTAATGTTTCAGCCGTTGGTCATGTGTGAGAAGTAGGACTTGTGGCAGTATGTGGTGTATTCCCAGACCGTGTCCTCATGCTGTGGATTTAAGTATTTTTAGCTGACAATAGCAGCAGAGAAGCCGCCTACGCTGGGTCCTACACTATTCCTGTAGTAAACTCAAAATGTACAGCAACACAACTTGCCTAGCAAAATTTTACGTGAATTTGGAAGATGTTTATACAACTCTTACTTGTATCACACACACAAAAAAATATAACAACTTGAGGATTTTCCAATTTGAAGTATGCAGAAGATTTTTTTTTTTATCCTGTAGTAAAATAATTCTTTTTTTAAACTTCTTTCCCATTGAATTGTGTTGACACCTATCCAACTGCAATAAGAACTGTAAACCATAAGTACAATCTATTATTCAAACCTTCTATGGAGAACCTGCGTATGCAAAAATCCCTCAATCAACAAGCTACAAATGGCATCTTTAAAACCAGATCGAGTTGTAGTGAAACATTTGCCTCAAGTGATACTGAAGAATCTCCTCCGGTTATAACTATACATAGTTCCTACATGACGTCACTACATACGGGGATTTGCCGACCCGGCGCCATTTGTGTTGGCATTCTGTGGGCAAAACAATAGAAAAAGAAGCTGAAACGTGTTAATGTCGTGATAAAGTTGAAAATGGTCATCTCCTGCTGGGTCAATGGATGTTCAAATCGTGCCGGAGGTTCCGTTAAACTTGGATTTTACAGTATACCCATCATTAGACTTCATGAATGTGAGAAGACTAAGCTTTTGTCAGAACAACGACGGAGGTTATGGCTTGCGAAGATAAACAGGCAAGAAACTCCCTCAAAACACGCAAGAATATGCTCGGAGCACTTTGTGTCAGGTGCGTATCGTATCTAATAATGTGTTGACAGACGTAATTTACTCAGTACTAACTTGTGTATGCTGATAGCTGGTAACTTGAGAGTTTCATTATTTAGCGTTAGATTACTTTATTATGAGGAGGATCGGTGTCGCGTCCGAGGCTCTCGAGGGCAACGTAAATGTATTAAATAGATAATAATAGTTCTATGGTGGGCTAAAACAATGTTCACAAACAGCATTGCTTCTGTAAAAAGATCTGTGTCATAAAATAAACTGCTCTTTACGCCTGGAAAAATCAGTTGCCCACCATTCACCAAAACATACGGTCAAAAACGCGGAAATAAACAATAACAGCAATCCAGAGTGTCCGTGTGGCATTAGCATTAATTAAATTAATTGTTAATATAATTAAAATAATTAAATGGAGCTCCAACTGGTATTAAATCTAAAGTTTTTGAGAAATGTTTGCATTGCTTGTTAATTTTTGCTGCATAATTTGATCAAATATGTAAAACATGTCCGTAGCACGTTAAACTGTGGTGCCATTGTAAAAATATACAATTATTTGCTCAAAAGTTGCCCTTTTTTTCCAATTTGCGTTTGAATATCTACATTTATTCTCATTCTTCTGTTTAATGGAATGCACAAACACAGCAGCGTGCCATCAAAGATGGCGTCTCCGAGGAGGTCATGTGACATTCATTGGTCTGTGGGAACTATGTATACACTATAAATTTTGTGTACTTCACATGGACCAGTCCTTCTCAAATAGTGGGGTGCAATAACATCCTCCATTCTGACCCCGGGAGAAACTGTGGCCGCTTTGACAGCTCAGCGAATGCGAGTGGTCATGTACCGAGCGCGGACCATAGACGCGCGTACAGAACCATACGCACGTGCGCGTTACGTGCACATTGCACGTGCGGGTCTTGCCTGTCTCCGTCTCTCCCCCATGCCTCTACGCAGTCTCTTCCCCGTCTCCTCCAAGTCTCACTGAATTAAAGCGCAGGTACCTACATTTTTGCTTGCATTGAAAATGCATGTTATTTGTGCACAGAAGTAAAATGTGACCAAATGAAACAGAACAAACCAAAACAGTCTGGTTTATTTTATTTTACTTACTTAACTCATTGAGTGCCAGCCTTGTTTCCACAGCTTGGGTCTAGAATGCCAGCCATTATGTCAACTTTTCCTGATATTTGCAAAGCCACAGCATATTCTGTGTTACTGTCATAATCACATGCTATACTGCATTTGAAAGGTGAGGCTTTGAACTTTCAGATGGTGAAAACCTTTCGTTTCTACCAGCTTTTGCCACTGGGATATCCTAAGCAAAAGATCGGAAACTTTCATGAAAATTGCCGTGAAGTTTAAAGCTGCACTAACTGACTTTATTTTCGTATTAATTACGAAAATGAAATCCATGTCCATGTAGTGCATTGGGATTTACGTCCTTTTGAAGAAAAAGTAGCGCAGATTTGTGCTGGCGTGACATTATATTTTCGATCGAGTTTTGATGAAACAAGGAAGAGAATGTGTTTCGGGTCGCAGATTGTGACCAATCACAGCGCACCACTAGCCCCCACTTTCGTGAGAAATCTCCAGGTCCGTTAGCATAGACGGCTGAGTTAGCACAACAAGCGGTGGAGCTAACCTGAAACTTTCTCGTCTTCGTCACCGGGTACTGCTTACACAGCGAGACAGCCATCCAAAAGAAAGTCCCGTTCCTCCGCGCTTCCCGGTTCTATCGTTCTATGGTCATGCCATCCACGTGAAAATCCATATACATGTATTATCCATATTGGGAGAGGCTAGCTCCGTCTCAACACTGTGTGTGTGTGTGTGTGGGGGGGGGGGGGGGGGGGGCATAGCTTCGTGGGTGTGGGGCCAGCGAGTCCGCGGCTTCAAAATCCCAAAGTCAGTTAGTGCAGCTTTAATGAAATATAATTTTTTGAGGGTTTTGTTGTTCTGACACATACGTTGCTGGGTCCACGGACATTTATAAGATAGATATCTTATAGGCGTGGGATAGGCTAAAAAAAAACGTGTTTAAAAACAATTCAATGTATATGAATATTTATACCGCCTTTACAATGAACACGAGATGAAAGTTGATCCATATAAAGATTTATGGCAACAGCAACAACAACACGAATGTACAATTAGAATACAAATGTTTATGTGTAGGAATATAATAAAAAATAAAATAAAACATAAAAAGATCCTCCTCCACTTCTTCGCAGACAGCAGCAGGAATACGCGACCGCTTACACGTGTGACTTTGTTGGTCCCGATTGGTCCCTATCTCTCACTATTCCGCTCAGATCAGCCCGTGGTTATCTCTGAGCCTAAGCACCTCCTTCTGAGCACCTCCCTTCACCTTCCTACAGAGCAACTCCCTCTCACAACCTTCCTCCTCTGCACGAGTCGCTGAAGTTTACTCACTTCTGTGATGTAAAAAGCGCTCATCACGTGTGTCTGGCGGGTGCGCACAGACTTGTTTTGATACTTTTTTCTCATCTCCGTCAGCAGCAAAACACAGCAGCAGTGAGGTTTCCGCTAAAGGATGAATCAAGACTGCCACCTATTGACAAACCCACGTAAATATCTTTTTTGACTTATGGTGCTTTCAGACCGCAAACGCTCAAAAGCTTAAGCCCCGCTCACCAGACGCGCATTCTCTAGTTTTCAGACGCAGAGGACTTCACACCAGAACGTCCTGACGCGAGCCGGAAGTACCGGAAGTAGCCGGCCGGCTCTAATGCTAACAGAGCTATGCTAGCGGCTTCTCGTGTACAGATCTTCTCCAATATGCAGCTTTGCAGCGTGTCTTTGCTCACAGACATTCCACAGGCTTTATATAACAGTAGTATGTGTTCACGGAGGTGCGCCATACGTTTTTTCATATTATTAAACAGTATTTCCTCATCGGCGAACACACTCAAAGCCGTTGCATAAGGTCACGGGAGCATGACCATGCATATTTTGGCGGCACGGTGGCTGAGTGGATAGCACTCTCGCCTCTCAGCAAGAAGGTCCTGGGTTCAAATCCCGGTCGGACCAGGGCCTTTCTGAGTGGAGTTTGCATGTTCTCCCCGTGTCTGCGTAGGTTTCCTCCGGGTACTCCGGTTTCCCCTACCACTAAAAATGTGTCCAATAGTTCAGGCA